GGCTCTGCGCCGCCGGTGCCGTCCGCTCGCTGTGTGAGCCGCCTGCTTCTCGGGCCCGGCTTTGCTGGCACAGGGCAGTGCGGTCTGGGTCTCCCGGCCCGTGCTGACCTGTCCCCCAGCAGTGGGTGTCCGTGGGTCCACCTGCTCTGCTCCCCGCTCTGACTCTGGGGCACCTTCACCCCTTCCGCACCTCCGGCCAGCACCCAGCTCTTGTATAAAGCGCAGAAGACAGGAAGGGGCGAGCCGTGGCGGGGCGGGGGAGTCCTCGGGTCGCGGCGGGCGAGGAGCTCCGGCCCTGGACCCCTCTCCGAGGAGGGCTCAGGCGCTGCTCGGGCACCGCCGGCGCCCCGCATCCTGCCGGGTTTCGGGGCTGCCCTTCCTCCCCGGGATGCGGGCAGCGCGGGCTGCTAGCTGGCTGCAGTCTGGCCTCTGTCTGCTTGAGGTTGGCGCCCTCTACACCAGGCCTTCCCGGGGGCGGAGTCCAGGTGGCCCTTTGCCTGGTGCCGCTGGCCTCTGGGTGGTGTGGTGACCAGGTCCGGTGGCCACATGCCAGCCTCGCGCTGAAACACCCCTTTGGGTGACTGCGGCCGTGCGGCCCGCCCTTCCCTGACTGCAGCCAGCACGGCTGCCCGGGTCCCCGCCTGCTCCCGAGGGAACCCGGACCTGGGCTGCGCTGGGACGGTCGCCTGGATGGCGGGGTGCCAGGTGTGCCCGGGACCCTCGCGCTCGCCCCACGTGGTGAGGAGCAGCCTGGGCAGTGAGTGTGGCCAGCCAGATGCCCAGGAGTGAGAGCAGGCCCTGGAGAGGGTGGTGGGTGCGGGGCAGGGGTCCGGGCCCCGGGGGGGACTGGGCCGGGCCGGGCCGGGCGGCCTCTGGGGAAGGAGCCCCGGGAGCGCCGCTTTGTGGAGCGAGCCTGAACCTGGTGCGCTGGCTGGCAATGCCAGCGGAAGCCGTGTGCGCACGGGCTGCTGCGCCTGAAGCCTCACCTGCGGCAGCGTCCAGGCGCCCTCTCTAGGCCGTGGCTGGCGAGCAGCGGGCCGGGCTCCCCCGCCCTGTTGGGGGGCGAGGCCGGGGACCAGGGCCAGGCGGAGCCCGTGCCCACAGCCGCGGGCTACAGGGGAGGCGTGCCCACCTGCTCCTGCCTGCACCAGGTTAGGGCTCAGCATGGCACAGCCTGGTGGGCAGGAGCCTTGGTCTCGCAGGGCTGGAGCGGGCGCTGGAGAGCTGCGTCCCAGGGGAACGGGCCCTTGTCACAGAGCCCGGGCCGTGCGGGGCATTCTTGGTTCTCATCTGGGGAAGGCGGAGGCGAGCTGCCTGCCCAAGGCAGGGAGAACGTCCTAGAGGCTCGGGGGGGCTGTGGGTCCGCACCCCTTCAGCTGCGGGGGCTGGTGCTGCCCGTCCTGAGCGTGTCTCCTTTCAGGCTAGACCGGCAAACGCAGGCCACGACTCTGGTCCATCAAATCTTTGGGGGCTACCTCAGGTCTCGGGGTAAGTGGGTGGTTTCTTCCTCTTTCTGTCAGGGCTCTGAATGCCAACTACGGTTAGCCCTCGGCCGGGCGCTTCCCCGGGTGGGGAGGCAGAGCTGGGCGAGCCGGCAGCCTGAGCCGGACTCCTGCACCCCGCGGGCCTACGCTGGTGGCCACCTGGCTGGGCGTTAGGGCGGCACCAGGGTGTGTCCACACCCTCTGCTCTCCTCGTTTCTGGTCCAGCTGTGGACAGCAGCCACGTCTGCAGCACGTGCCTGCGGGGGCCGGGGAGGCAGGTGTCCCCTCGGGGTGGTGGGGTTGCTGCCACCTCGAATGTGGTTCTTGGGTCCCCGCCGTGGGGCCTGGAAACCCGGGGCTGGCCCACAGCCCCCCTCTGTGCCCGCAGTGAAGTGCTCCATGTGCAGGAGCGTCTCGGACACCTATGACCCCTACCTGGACATCGCGCTGGAGATCCGGGTACGGCCCCGCGGGCGGGGCGTGCTGGCTGTGCTGGGGGGTGGTGAGGGTGGCTGCGGTGTCTGTGACATCACCCGAAGCTGGGGCCTGCCGCATCAGGCCCTGGCCGCCTCCCTGTGCTGGGGTTCCCCTAAAACCAGCGCCTCTAAGCAAGGAGGAGGGAAAGCCCTAGGGATCCCGGCTCCGGGGTGGAGCCTCGTG